TAATGTAGTGTAATTAGTGCAAATTGCAAGCGCAGTTGCAGTTGTAGTCGTGGTGCGGTGTAGTTAGTGTAGTGCAGTGTAATGTCGTGTAGTGTTGTGTAGTGTAGCGTGGTATGGTATAGTGTAGTGTAGTCTAGTGTAAGGTAGTGTAGTTGTAGTTGTAGTGCAGTGTAATTAGTGTAGTGTAGCGTAGCGGAGTGTAGTGTAGTGTAGTCTGTGTCGTGTCGTGTCGTGTCGTGTCGTGTCGTGTGGTATGGTGTCGTGTCGTGTAGTGTAGTGTAATGTAGTGGTAGTTGTAGTCGTAGTGGTAGTGGTAGTGGTAGTGGTAGTTGCAGTTGCAGCTGCAGTTGCAGTTGCAGTTGTAGCTGTAGCTGTAGTGTAATGCAATGTAATCAGTGTAGCGTAGTGTTGTGTAATGTAGTCTGGTTGTAGTTGTATTTGTAGCTGTAGCGTGCTGCAGTGTAATTGGTGCAGTGTAGTGTAGTGTAGTTGTAATTGTAGTTGTAGTTGTGGTGGTAGTAGTTGTTGTTGTGGTTGTTAGTGTAATTGGCGTAGTGTAGTGTGCTTAGATGTAATTAGTGTAGTGTAGTGTAATTAGTGTAGTGTAATGTAGCGTAGTACATTTGCATTTGTACTTGTAGCTGTAGTGTAGTGTAGTGTAGTAAAGTGTAGTGTAGTGCAGTGCAGTGCAGTGCAGTGTAGTGTAGTGTAGCGTAGTACATTTGCATTTGTACTTGTAGCAGTAGTGTAGTGTAGTGTAGTGTAGTGTAGTGTAGTGTAGTGTAGTGAAGTGTCGTGTAGTGTAGCGTAGCGTAGCGTAGTGTAGTGCAGTGCAGTGCAATGTAGTGTAGTGTAGTGGTTGTTGTTGTTGTTGTTGTTGTTGTCGTCGTCGTCGTCGTCGTGGTCGTGGTCGTTGTCGTTGTCGTTGTCGTTGTCGTTGTCGTTGTCGTTGTCGTTGTCGTTGTCGTTGTCGTTGTCGTTGTTGTTGTTGTTGTTGTTGTAATTGTCTGTCTACCTATCTATCTATCTACCTATCTATCTATCTATCTTTCTATCTATCTCTCTATCTCTCTATCTATCTATCTATGTATCTATCTGTTTGTCTGCCTGCTGTCTGTCTGTCTACCTGCAAGCTTGAAAACGCAGCAATTCTGCGAGACCTTCTTAATTTTTGAACTCGACTCGACAACGTCAAAAACGAAACAATTCTGCGAGACTTCTTTATTTTTCGACCTTGACAACGTCAAAAACAAAGCAATTCTGCGAGACTTCCTTCAAAAATGGAAAGTTGAGTGCAGAGCTGACGGCCTCGTACCAATGCGTTTTGTGATGTTTCCAGTCCATCCAGGTCATACGAAGTGCTGCACCTGATGCTCCAAAATGCAACCCCTCTCAGGAAATCAGCGCCCTGACCTCCTAACATCTCTGATGAACATGTCTCTTGCACTGCGCCTGCCATGCGAAACATCTTTGCAAATCCTCTGCATATTTCCCACGCCCGCCATCGTTTTTGGAAATGCCACAAAACCCTCACGTTTTTTCTCACTTTTGGCAGGGTGGAGAATCCCTTACGCTTGCCACGCAAAACGACATCTGAACGTCCAAAAGTGCTCCAAACCCGTCAATTTTTTACACTTTTGGTGGTTTGACTTCGAAATGTGCTTCGCACCACAAGGGCGTGCACTTTTTTTCGACATCTCAACTTCCAAAAGTGCTCTGAACCTGACAGTTTTTTACACTTTTGACTTCGCAATGTGCTTCGCGCCACAACGCCGTGCACTTTTTCGACATGTCGACTTCCAAAAGCGGTCCGACACTGAGCTGCTTTGTACATTTTGACTTGGACATGTGCTTCGCGCCACAACGCCGTGCACTCTTTCGACATCTCAACTTCCAAAAGTGGTCCGAACATGGTGTGCTTTGTACATTTTGACTTGGAAACGTGCTTCGCGCCACAACGGATCAGTGGAAAAACACAGTGTTTCGCGACTTTCCTATCTTTTCGCACACCTGGATCTTCTTTCTTCTGAGACTTTCTCTTTTTTGATCTTCTTTCTTCTTCTCTTCTCTTCTCTGACTTTTCCCATCTCTGCTTTTCATCTGTCCATATTGTCGGAAGTTTGACTTCTAAACTTCCTTCGATAATGGGTTTGCTGAAGATAGACAAGCAGATTTTGGACCTGAAGTTTCTACAAGTTTCCCTTCTATCCACGGTTGTTGGCTATGCTAGCGTCCCAAATTTTCTGCCCGCCGTCTGGTCTCTATGGGTCTCTTGACTTTTCCCAGTGTCTGAACTGCAATGGAAAAGTTGATTCGGGCTGGATAGGCGTCACACAGTGAGGCCTTCATGAACAACGTCTTCCTGTCAAGAAAAACGGTTGTCATTTTTGGGCGGAATTTCGTTGTGGAGGGCAAACATGGACCTCCAAAAAGCAAACGACACAACGTAGAAAAACACATGAACAGGAAAATAAGTGAACGGCTGCATTGGACTTGGTAAAAATCTTTTGAATCTCTTTATATTTTTTGGAAAACCATAGAAAACAAGTCACTGTTTGAAAGCAAAGGGCCTGAGGCACGAAGCCCATCACAGTCTTGTAGTCGTTAAAGTCACCCTCTTGTCCGTTGAAACGCACAACCCTGATTCCACAGAGCGCATCCAATTGCAGAGTCTGATTTCAGAATCGTTTTTGTTTGGAACAACATCAATCAACATCATGCCTCACAAAATCTCACAAAGTCTCATGAAATCTCACAGTAACCAAGGCATGGACCCCGAAACGGTGGCGTAAGAAGCCTGTTTACCAGCTAAATGTGGGCTGGAAAACCATGGAAAGCCAGATGCACTACATTACTTAATCGAATATATTGTCAAAAATATATAATTGTATACATAAGCAAATATCTAAATCTATATAAATCTACGGTTGCATGTATGGATGCAATCAGAAGCAATTGACAAAAAAAGGAATCAAGGCAATCCGGCGAAGCATTGGTCCAATTCTAGGGAAGCACTCCCTCACAAACAAATCAGTATTGACGCACTTGAACAGGATCGTTCAAATTGTGTAACTCGTGTGCTGGTAGCGAGGGGAAAGGAACCATGCTGATGAAGATTTTGAAGCGTGTCAACGCCACGATGGATCAGCACAAAAATGTCAGATCGCGAAAACCGCACAGGATCATGACATGAAACGAATGCAAAAGGAAAACCACATGCCTTTATTGCAAACCACGACAAACAACAAGTGAGACACGAAAAAAAAAGGCCAACTGTTTCATTTTACTTAGACGAGCTACCACATCAAAGTGCCTCACTTCAGGTTTCGAGTCACGGATCCAACTTACTACCTAGAAAGGTATTCCCCCAACAAATCATGCTGTCTTTTCGAATCCAGCATGAGTAACACACTTGCTCAGACTTGCTTGTCGACTTGTGAAGTTGGAATGCATCTTACGTGCAACACACAGCAACTGTAAACCTGACAGTAAAAAAGGAGCGCAGGCAGGATTTGAAATTCCATCGTCGAAAATTCCATTGTACGCACAAATCATGTATAACCACGATCACGCTGAAGGAGAATTGGAAGCTGACCCTTCCCTCTCAAGTGTCAGATTGCGGCAACAGTGCCGAAAAGAAGCTGAAAACATTGACACGCCGGTTCTGGGCTTAACCGGTTACCGTTCACGACAAAGAACATCGGTGACATGTGTGAAAAATGTTGGAGTTCAACGTATTTGGAAAATTGGCAGGTACGGCACGGTGATCAGCCGTGATATCCGCATGTAACGTGGTCGCTTCGTTGGACCATCGTTCACAGTACATGGATGGTCCCCCTGCAGTTTTAAGTTGAATTGAATAACACGGTCGATCATGAAACAGTCATTCACGGTCATCGAAATCAACGGAACACCCTGAGATCCGAAGGTGCAAGTTTTACATCTATTGAGATGTTATACTAATATATATATATATACACACACACCCACGCACTCGCGCACACACACACACCCGCGCGTGCGCGTCAATCCGTCTTCACAAATCCTGCCTTGCCACAAAGAACATTCATTAGGCCTTGGAAAGATGGCAAGCGAAGCAGAATGGCAACCACAAAAGCAATCATTGCTGTGAAACGACTAACAGGCTGACAAATGCAATGGCCGTTGTAAAACTGCTCACGCTAATCCGAGACTTTGGCTGGTTTTGCCAGCACCTGATGGCCCCATGATGGCACACCTGAGAAGGCATTCTGGGGTTACAAGTTTGTCAAACGGATTTCAGGAGGAGACGGTCCTCAAAGCTGAGACATGTCCTGGTGAGCCAAGTCTCCGACATTCGTCCCGCTCGGAACTCGCCGCTGACCTCGGCTTGTAGCTTGGGAGCCCTGGAAACTCTGGTGCCGGGTATTTCTCGAAGTTCCAAATCGCACAAGCTTGTTTGGGACATTTTGGAATTCTTCTCTTGCAGAAGTGCAAAAGCACAAAGGCAAAGTACCAAGATCTGCTTCAGTCCAAGCCACTCCAGACAGAATCGCGTCACCGCTTGGAAGCTCCAAACCTCTCAAACGCATGTGCACACTTGCTTCCCCCTTTTCCAACCTTCAACCTCTTGTTAGACAACACTGTATCATTATAGAACCTACAACAAGTACAAGCAACACAAACTGGGTCCCAGACTGATGTCTTCAAAGGAAACGCTGGCCATCTGAAGTCACGGCTTCAATGTAAATCTTGTCCCTTCAAAGGCAAAGCTTGAAGCACTGTGTCTTCGTCATTTTTTCCTTTCAAGATGTTCAAGCGTCACGGCATTCATTTCGTTGCCCTTTGGGCAGTACTGAATGCTGTTGACACAGACAGTACTTCGCCGAATTTGCGGTTGACCACCACTTTCGGGCTGCGCCGGCTGCGGGCAAGCCTTTTTTGAACGAAACATGCGCAAATATCTGCTTGCTCTGTTCTGATGGTTGTGGTGGTTGTCGCTACTGTAACATGTTATAACACTTGACTTTAACTTGCTCATCAACAGGCACAGTCTGTGTAGGTCCCGCGAGACTGATATAGCTCGCAACTCAAGCCAAAATCCATCTCTGGGAAAATGAAGGACCTTGCCACTTGCCTCGCCACTCTGCCTTGTGCCATGGCGCATTCGCGCCTGGTGATTTCATTGATATCTAAGATCTTTAGATTCAATCAAATCTATGGATCCACTTTGCTGAGGGCCTGGCCAAAGTCTGCATATCGACAATTTGGCTCCACTTTGGCTCCATTCAAAAAGTTTTTTTGACCTCTTCCAGGAACTCCTCCGATGCCCTTTGCGGCTCAGCGTTCAGTATTTTGCCATTCACAGCTTTGATGGCCCAACCAACCTGGGGGCACTGCGGCACAAGCCAGTTTCCATACTACGGCAGACGGCACCAAGAGTCCAAACTGTCGAAGCGAAAGCTACCTAGCTACCAAGCTACCAAGAACAAGAAGCAAATTTGCAAACATTCAACGAAATGGCAAAGGAAGACTACCAAAACAATGACTGAACACCTCCCGTAACGCTTTATGAGACTAATTGCTTGATACGTGTCTTGTTCATTGGTTAAATGAAGGATAGTTTGGTAAAGTTGAAGAGTTTGCAGTTGATGTCACGTTCGGTTGACTCAATGAGCGAATGAATTTGAATAATCAGATTGGAAACTGGTTCTTTGCTCGGCTGTGGGATTGATCCAGCGACGCTACAAGAGCGACGTTACAAGAGCGACGGAGCGATGCCCAAAGGCTTGGCAGAGGGATGTAACGCTTTACATCAACGATGACCACAACCCTGGCATCAACCATGACATCAGCAATGACAACAACGGTGACATCAGCGACGACATCAACAATGGCATCAGCATTGACAACAACGATGACATCAGCGATGACATCGGCAATGGCATCAGCGATGACATCAACGATGACATCAGCGATGACATCAACAATGACATCAGCAATGACAACACCGGTGACATCAGCGATAACGTCAGCAATCACATCAGCTATGACATCAACAATGACGTCATCGATGACATCAACCATGACGTCAGCAATGACATCAGCGATGACATCAACGCTGACAACAACGATGACATCAACCATGACATCAGCATTGACAACAACGATGAGATCAGCGATGACGTCAGCAATGACATCAGCGATGACATCAACAATGACATCAGCTATGACATGAGCAATGACATCAACCATGACATCAGCAAAAACAACAATGATGACATCAACCATGACATCAGCAATGACAACAACGATGACACCAGCGATGACATCAACAATGACATCAGCAATGACGTAAACGATGACATCAATGATAACATCAACGATGACACGAGCAATGACATCAATAATGACATCAACAAGTGCGTCAGGAATGACATCAACAATGACTTCAGCGATGACATCAGCGATGACATCAACAATGAGATCAGCAATGACGCCAACGATGACTTCAGCGATGGCATCAACGATGACATTAACAATGGCGTCAGCTATGACATGAGCAATGACATCAAGGATGAAATCAGCGATGACATCAGCAAGGACATCAACAACAACATCGAAATCAACGATGACATCAACGATGACATCAGCGATGACATCAACAATGACATCAGCAATGACAACAACGATGACATCAGTGATGACATCAACAAAGACATCAGCAATGACAACAAGGATGAAATCAGTGATGACGTCAGCAGTGACATCAGCGATGACATCAACGATGACATCAGCGATGACATCAGCTATGACATCAACAATGACGTCATCGATGACATCAACCATGACGTCAGCAATGACATCAGCGATGACATCAACGCTGACAACAACGATGACATCAACCATGACATCAGCATTGACAACAACGATGAGATCAGCGATGACGTCAGCAATGACATCAGCGATGACATCAACAATGACATCAGCTATGACATGAGCAATGACATCAACCATGACATCAGCAAAAACAACAATGATGACATCAACCATGACATCAGCAATGACAACAACGATGACACCAGCGATGACATCAACAATGACATCAGCAATGACGTAAACGATGACATCAATGATAACATCAACGATGACACGAGCAATGACATCAATAATGACATCAACAAGTGCGTCAGGAATGACATCAACAATGACTTCAGCGATGACATCAGCGATGACATCAACAATGAGATCAGCAATGACGCCAACGATGACTTCAGCGATGGCATCAACGATGACATTAACAATGGCGTCATCTATGACATCAGCAATGACATGAACGATGACATCAGCGATGACATCAGCACAGACATCAACGATGACATCAGGGATGGAATCAACGATGACATGAACGATGACATCAGCCATGACATCAAGGATGACAACAACGATGAAATCAGCTATGACATCAGCGGTGACATCAACCATGACATCAGCGGTGACATCAAAGATGACAGCAGGGATGACATCAGCTATGACATCAGCGATGACATCAACCATGACGTCAGCGATGACATCAGCAATGACAACAACAATGACATCAACGAAGACATCAGCAGTGACATCAGCAATGACATCAGCGACGAAATCAACGATGACATCAACGATGACAGCAGGGATGACATCAGCGATGACATCAACAACGCCATCAGCAATGACATCAACGATGACATCAACGATGACATCAAAGATGACATCAGCGATGACATCAACAATTACATCAATGGTGGAATCAGCGATGACATTTACGATGACATCAGCGATGACACCATACAGCAACTGCCACAGCAAAAGCTTGTGACATCTTGTTCTGCAACATACTGCAAACACACCAAGCGTAGCACAAAGTACTGCAGCATGCGACAAACATACTAATACGACGGACCAATGCCCTTTTGCAAACGATCACAGCGTACCACACAGCGTTTGGCAGCCCTGTAGCGTGGCCATTCCATATAAATCCCAGCTCTTCTTTGCTCCTCGAATTCTGGTTTCTGTCCTAGTTTTGGTCTCCGTTGCGTTCTTTTTTATTTGGCTCGCTGCTGGTGGGTAGACCTTGCGGTTGGGGCCCCCCTCCATGATGAATCTTCGAAAAATCGAAAACCATCACTAAGTCATCACAAAAATTAAATTTGTCTCTGAAAACGTACTAAAAGCCATATGCAGCTTGGTTTCTCTCACAGGAAGACCAGTCTCCTTCACACAACCCTCATCAAGAATTCCGGAAACCTTCCTTGGATCTTGAAGGACATACCGAGGTGGGAAATCTGCGAAACAAAAGCTACATACAATAAATCACATAGTCACATACTGATAGTCATGCTCAACCAATCTCACTGGCCAAGAGTCAAAGGCGCCTTGCCTGAAACCTAAACCACCAAGACGTAAAGCAACTGGATCAACTGGAAGGACACTGTGTTCAGCACTTTGCTCAGTACTCTGCTCAGGTGCGAGCGTACTTGAAGCCCAACGGTTTCTTTGCGAATTTTAGCTCAATCTCCTTGGTGCAAAGCTTGGCACATTTGAATCATTTGAAGCAAAACAAACAAAACAAATACATAACAATACAACAAAGAACTTCTGCCATGGACTACATCAGCGCTGCCATAGGCTACCTGCAACTGCCTGCAACTACCTGTGACAAATGGCAATTTGAGAAGGCCTGGAGAAGCCCTGCAACATAGGCAGGTCACTGTGCCTGTCTCGTCGAGGAATGTGATCGTGCAAACCCTCAGCAAGGCCAGCAACTCTGCAAGGTAGAGGCCACCATCAAAAAGCCACATCTCTTTCACTTTGGTCAGCTTTGTATAACTTTGTCACTTTCAATAACAAGTTTCATGCGATGCTACATTCGATGCTTCTATGATGATACTTCAAGATGCCATCTCCCCGTGAAACTAGAAACTGTGGAACCTCGAATCTCTACATATGGGTTCCCGTTTAAGGAAAACCTGCTGTTCAAATTTATCAAAGGAAGTTTGAAAGTCTGACTTCCGTGTTATGGATCTTTGGATGTCATTGAAGTCCCGCACCAAAGAAGTCTCACAGCAAAGAGATTTCACAGCAAAAAAATCTCACAGCAAAGAGATCTCACAGCAGAGGTCTCACAGCAAAGAGATCTCACAGCAAAGAAATCTCACAGCAAAGAAGTCTCACAGCAAAGAGATCTGACAGCACAGAAAACTCACAGCAAAGAGATCAAATAACAAAGAGGTCTCAAAGCAAAGAGATCTCAGAGCAAAGAAGCCTCACAGCAAAGAGATCTCACAAAACAGAAGCCTCACAGCAAAGAGGTCTCACAGCAAAGGGATCTCATAGCAAAGGGATCTCATAGCAAAGAAGTCTCACAGCAAAGAGAGCTCAGATCGCAGAGCGAAGAAGTCTCACAGCAAAGAGGTCTCACAGAAGAGATCTCAGAGCAAAGAAGCCGCACAGCAAAGAGATGTCATAGCAAAGACGACTCACGGCAAAGGGAACTCATAGCAAATGTCTCACAGCAAAGAGATCTCCAAGCAAACAAGTCTCACAGCAAAGAGATCTAATAGCAAAGAAGTCTCACAGCAAAGAAGTCTCACAGCAAAGAAGTCTCACAGCAAAGAGATCGCATAGCAAGAGATCTCACAGCAAAGAGATCTCACAGGAAAGACGTCTCACAGCAAAGAAGTCTCACAGAAGGAAGCCTTGCACGAAAGCGTTGTTTCTTAGCTTTAACCTTCAGTTTTGGATGGAAGTCTCGCACGACATCTTCGTTTTCACGTCTTCAACTTTCAGTTTTTGAAGGATGTCTCGCACGAAAGCTTCGTTTTCACATCTTCAACTTTTAGTTTTTGAGGGAAGTCTCGACCGAAAGCTTCGTTTTCACACCTTCAACTTCCAGACTTTGAGGGAAGTCTCGCACGAAAGCTTCGCTTTCACGTCTTCAGCTTTCCGTTATTGAGGGAAGTCTCACACGAACGCTTCGCTGGCAGATTCAAGGGGCGTCTCGAATTAAAAACGTTTTTGAGAGCCAGCGGATGCACGGAATGCTGTGTTTTGCAGGGCAGAACGTGTCTCGGAAGATGAATGGGGAAGGTTTGCCGCGCTAAGGTTGCGGAACGCGTTCGGCTAGGGGCGGATCATGCTCGGATCGGCCGCGCAGTGGAACTGCCAGTTCAGGCGCTTCGTTTTCACATCTTCAACTTTCAAATTTTGAGGGAAGTCTCGCACGAAAGCTTCGTTTTCACGTCTTCAACTTTCCGTTATTGAGGGAAGTCTCGCACGAACGCTTCGCTGGCAGATTTCGAGGGACGTCTCGAATGAAACACGTTTTTGAAAGACAGCGGATGCACGGAATGCTGTGTTTTGCAGGACAAAACGTGTCTTGGAAGATGCATGGGGAAGGTTTGCCGTGCGAAGGTTGCAGAACACGCTCGGCTAGGGGCGGATTATGCTCGGATGGGCTTGCTTTTCACGAGTTGAAGTTGGAATTTTTGAAGGACGCCTCGCACGAAAGCGTCGTTTATTTCATATCTGTCACTTTCACTTATTTCATATCTTCCATTTCAATTTTTGAGCGATGTCACGAAAGCTTCGTTTTCACATCTTCAACTTTCAGTTTCTGAGGGAGGTCTTGCACGAAAGCTTCGTTTTCACGTCTTCAACTTTTACTTTTTGAGGGAAGTCTCTCGCGAAAGCTTCGTTTTCCTGCTTGGCGTTGCGGCTGCGTGCGTAATACTATGGTCTTTGGCAGCTGGACATCGTAAATAGTATTGGAGTGGCTGCATCCAGCTTGCGATAGCGATTTGTCAACAAGTTTTCTCAATTTTGGCGCTGGTGATTTTGCCTTTAAAATTCCTTTCGAAAAGTGCTTCAAGATCGTCTTTTTTTTGCTTTGGCGCTGAGATCCGGTTTTGGAGCTGCAATTTCTGACGCTGTCGCGCGTAGTTCTATTGTGCTTTGCAACTCAGTGGCTGCAGATCGCACTCCAATGGCTGCGTCAAGGTTGCTTGCTGCCGTGGCTGCGTGCGTAGTACTATTGTCTTTTGCACCTGGGCATCGTAAATCGTATTGGAGTGGCTGCCTCAAGGTTGCGATAATGATAATGTCTTGTCAACAGATTTTCTCAATTTTGGCGCTAGTGATTTTCCTTTTAAATTCCTTTTAGAAAGTGCTTCAAAGCTTGCAGCGTTTAAAAGCTTCTCTATGTAAAGGTTTCTGCGTAAAAGCTTGCCCTGTGTAAAAGCTTGCTGTGTAAAAGCTTGCTGTGAGTAAAAGCTTCCCTGTCTCTGTGTAAAAGCTTCTGTGTGTACAAGATTCTCTGTGCAAGTGTACAAGCTTCTCTGTGTAAAATCTTCTCTGTGGAAAGCGCAGGGGTCGCTTGGTTTGGTGCTGAGATCCGTTTCTGGAGCAGGTTTGGGCCAGATAAGAGCTGAGATGATTTGAGCGTGCGTTGAGAAGAGCGGAGATGAGGTGAGACGAGCTGACAAAAGCTGAGTTCAGCTGAGGAGATGTGAGAAGAGCTTAGAAGATGTAAGAAGAGAGAGAAGAGGTGAGAAGACATAAGACGAGCTGACATGACCTGCGGAGAGCTGAGAAGAGTTGAGAAGAGCTGCGAAAACCTGAGACAGTGGAGATAAGCCGAGGTGAGATGAGAAGAGATGAGAAAAGCTCAGGCGACATGAGAAGAGAACAGAACAGTTGCGATCAGCTGAGAAGAGCTGAGAAAGCGAGAGAAGACATGAGATGGGATAAGACGCGATGAGGTGAAAAAACTGAGAAGACATGAGATGAGATGAGTTGAGATGAGATGGGATGACACAGACTGCGGTGACAATGGGATGCAATGAACAATTTCCAAGAGAAGCTGCGATGCGATGAGATCAGATGAAATGGGAAACGGTCCAACATTCAAAAGACATGGCGTCAGATTGACAAGTCGAGAGATGCATGCTGAGGAGCACAAAAGGCTTCGCCGCATCCTATAGGCACACTCTTTGCCCCGCTCTATACGCTTTACTATAGGCCTATAAGCGTTTCAATTTTGAAACTTCCGCGCCCGGCTTGCCCGGGTACAAGGAAAGACTCCGACGTTGAAAGGGCAATCACATGAACAAACAAGGACATTAAGCAGCAAGATGATTTGAGCACTTCCTGCAAGTTTTAGCATGTACAGTTTTAAAAAAAGAAAGTGCAGAAACCCAAAAAACAATCCGACAGAGGCACGTTGGATCAGTGACTACTTTGACCACATCTTTTGGTTCTTCCTCCTGGTTGTCGAAGGCGTCCTGTGTTGGAATCTTCACGATATCCTGCCAGGGACCCTCAGAATCCACACGTCTCTCTGCCTAATTGGGCTTGGGACGTGATTCCAAGATCATCTCAAGAATCGGAATCGTACCAAGAAAAGACTCCCTGTGTCCAAGTGCTTGTTGCCTGCACAACTCAAAATCCAAGCCGCCCAAGCCTTCTCATCAGCAGGTTTGGCACAACAAGCTTGATTTCCCATGGTAAGTCCGCTGACCCCAGCAAATATGATTCTACCCCGTTTGAGGGCTTGAGGAAGGTGCGATGAGCAGCTTGTCAAGTTGTCACACGTTGTCTCATCAAACCACAGCTGCCACTGCTGTCAGTGCTGTCTGTATACATGACTTTGTGACTCTATGATCTTTCTGTCTTCCGCTCGTTCGGTCACTTTTCCTTTGCTGAGCTCTCGGCTGCTCTTTTTTTTCCCATTCCACGGAATCGATACTTTTCAACCTGGCACAAGGCAGAAAGCACGTGCAACACTGCAAGCACAAGGCTGACGAAAAGACTCTGAGTAAGTCTCCTGGTGACACTGCAGGTGGGTTGAAACATAGTAGGGCTATGTAGGACTTAGAATGAACATAGGACACCAGTCCTTGCTAAGGACTTCACCCTTGCACCAGGAAGGAACCTTCGGAGTAGTTCCAAGGACAGAGCCTTGCCGCACACCAAGGTTGACATATGTTGACAGATGATGCTGACAGTAGCTCACAAAACTCAAACCGTGTCATATGTTGTGAAGCTGTTGTGGTCTAGTTGTTTGAAATTTGACAGGTAATTGTTTCTTGAGGCCACTATGTTTCCCAGTTCAGTCGGGCTCCCTTTGGGCATGGTACAGAGCCCAAACCTTCAAGACTTCCTATTTCTCCGTTGGAATCCTATAGGAGAGGTTTGGTTGTTGTGACGCATTGATGGCAAAGTGAACACACTGATGGACCGAAAGGTGGTTGGAGTTGTGCTTTTTGAATGGTTGCAATGGTCACCTCAACAACAACTGCTGGATGTAGTGTGGTGTAGTGTAGTTGTAGCTGTACTGGTAGTGCTGGTGCTAGTGGTAATTGAAGCTGCAGTGGTGGTGAGATTTGTACTTGCATTTGTAGTGTAGTTGTAGCTGTAGTTGCAGTTGTAGTTGTGGCTGTTGCAGTGGTAGCTGTTGTAGTAGTAGCTGTTGTTGTTGCTGCTGTTGTACATGCAATTGCAGCTGTAGCAATAATGACTGCTGTTGTTGTTGTTGTGGTTGTTGTCGTTGTTGGTTGTTGTTGTTGCTGGTTGCTGGTTGCCGTTGTTGGTGCTGATGCTGGTGCTGGTGCTGGTGCTGGTGTTGGCGGTGTTGGTAGTGGTGCTGGTGGTAATATTGGTGGTGGTGGTAATATTGGTGGTGGTTGTTTTTTTGGTGGCAATATTGGTGGTGGTGGTAATATTGGTGGTGATTAATATTGGTGGTGGTGGTAATATTGGCGGCGGTGGTAATATTGGCGGCGGTGGTAATATCGGTGGTGGTGCTGCTAATATTGGCGGTGGTGGTAATATTGATGGTGGTGGTAATATTGATGGTGGTGGTAATATTGGTGGTGGTGGTGGTGGTGGTGGTAATATTGGTGGTAATATTGGTGGTAATATTGGTGGTAATATTGGTGGTAATATTGGTGGTAATATTGGTGGTAATATTGGTGGTAATATTGGTGGTAATATTGGTGGTAATATTGGTGGTAATATTGGTGGTAATATTGGTGGTGGTAATATTGGTGGTAATATTGGTGGTAATATTGGTGGTAATATTGGTGGTAATATTGGTGGTAATATTGGTGGTAATATTGGTGGTAATATTGGTGGTAATATTGGTGGTAATATTGGTGGTAATATTGGTGGTAATATTGGTGGTAATATTGGTGGTAATATTGGTGGTAATACTGGTGGTAATATTGGTGGTAATATTGGTGGTAATATTGGTGGTAATATTGGTGGTAATATTGGTGGTAATATTGGTGGTAATATTGG